GGCAGTCTGCTGACTCATGCTAAGAAAAAATAAACAGGAATACATAAGTGGAGTTATTTGACTTGCATGCCTCTACCTGCCTCTCAAATGTATTAGAAGACTGTCATGTGGCTGATAGTATTTGTCATGCTGTGATACTTAGTGATGGTTCCTAGGTCACTCTCTCTACTGCATTCCTCATGAAAGCATGAATATTTCATTAGCTGTGCACATTCATCTATATTTGAGTATCTTCATGCTGAGGGAAGAAACTTGACATTTCTTTGGGGGTAGCATGGCTGTGTGTTGCTGTGTTTTTACATGTAATGTAAAGGAGTCAATTTGTATTCTCACAAGCTCCCAACCTGAGGTCGCGAGGCTGTGACGAGGCTGGTTATGACCATTCTATTCAGGATGTAACCCCATGGAGGTTTGCACAATGACTTTTCCTCATATGTTCATTGTATGCTGTCCTAAAGGCTTGATATTGCTTGTCAGTTAGTATTCCTCAAGGTGAATTAATTGGCATTGCCATGATATTAGCCTTTTCCCAGATACAAAGCTAAATGACTTTGATTGTCAAGAAAATTGATTGTTGAGAAAGCAAAAACAATCCCTCCCCTTTTCAGAGCAACATAAAGACTGTGCAAATCCAGTGAGGGAATGAACTGGATTATGCAACTTTACATCAAACTCCTTACCAATATTTTAGTCTGCACGTTCATCCACTGCAGCATGCCAATTTCCAAATTGGAATAATGGGCCATGAGCTTTTAACTACATGTGTAGTTAAATATAACTAAAGTTAGTATTATTAAATAATCCACATTTATATCTCTTTGATGTGCCTCACTTCTGTAGCTGCTATTATGGAAAAAATGCCCAATGGACTGTGTTGCCTCTTCTGGTCTCAAGGCACAATGTGTTGTGAAAGAAGACTAGAAAGGAAAAATAAAATCATGAAGCCCATATTCCTAATCCTTAAATAAGAGAGAGTTTTACCTGACCAGGAAAAGTCAGTGTGGTCCACTTCAGTCGTTTATCATGACAGCCAGTTCTCTATGATGAAAGTTTTTTTTCCTTGGACTGGACTCTTGGAAAAGTTGAAACCTGCTATGTTATCTGAAGGTGGCATTCTGGCATGGGCTCAGGCTATAATCAAACTTGCCCAGTCTCTCAGCTCAGTGAGAGCCTACTGCAGTTGCAGTTCCCGAGTGGGTTTAGCAAAACCCATCTGCTCCTGCTCCTTCGTTGTGAAGCAATGTGTTTAAAAAAAAAGGGGGGGGGGAGAGGAGGGGGGAGAGAGAGAGAGAGGGAGAGAGAGAGAGAGAGAGAGAGAGAAAGAGAGAAAAAAGGTCATGAATAGGTTCATTAGGGAATCATAAGGTACCTGACTGGCCTTTTGTTACTTATCTATCACAATAAGAGCTTTTTCCACCCATCTCTGAAGGCTGCTCACTCTTGATGTGAAACTTCCACACTGCTTAGAAGCCTGAGTGCCCAGCACTAACCTCTGGCTCAGAAGAAGGAGTGGAGGATAGTGGGACTAATTCTGAAAGTATGCAGCCTCCCTAAAGTCTCTGGGATTTAACAACTCTGACTGAAGAAAGGGTTGGGCTCACTGTATATATTTGAAACTGCCCAGTCGCTTTTGAACAGTGTTATCTTTTATACTTTTTAGTACATAACGTCTTTCTAAGGTTCTTTCAGCTCTGATTAAAGTCACTACTGTGGAGCAGTAGAGCTTAGCTGCCTTTTGTACTTTGTTATATTTTCTCTGAAGAGTGGCTTCTGTTTTATTGCCTTTGGTTGCTGAAGGGACTGAGCAGCCTGCCTGATGGTCTAGAGCAAAGCCTTTCTTCAGGCCTGGTGTTTGAGGACAAAGTGACAAGTTGAAATACAGAGTCCACTTCTGTCTGTTTTGCCTTCTGGGTTTGAGGAGTTTGCAAGGAAATACAACAGATCTGCTCCTGGTAGCACACAATATGCCTGAAAAGAAGAAAATTTCACCGGAGAGATACAGATCAGAAGAAAGAGGATCCTTCCCCTACAGCCATGAGTATAAACAAGATATTATGTGTGAAATCTAGGCTTTGCTGAGCCAGGTTCAGTGTGATCGGATTCCCTGACTGCCTGAGCTGCAGTGACCCAGGCAAGCAGGGAAGGCTTTAAGGCTTTAGTGATGCTGCTATGGCGATTAAGTTGGGGTCACTCCCACAGTAAGTCCTAGTGGGTAGTGTGGAGCTGCTGCACTCACAGATCCCCCTACTCTGAGAGAATCTCTTTAGGGGATAGGTTCATCCAGCAATCTGAGGGCTGCCCAGAGAGACCAAGGCTTGAGCCTGCAATTCTAATACGTTACAATGCAAGTTACATCTAAATATTCAAAACTGCTTGTATTCCTAGTCCTTACGATATGTTAGTCTTTTGCGTGTGTCTTTTTAAGCATTTTCCTTTTGTGGTGGCTTTGAGAGCCAGTAAGAAACAAAACAAAAAGAGAACATGGAAGCATATTCTCAAATGAAGTGGGTGTGAGGCAAGCTCTGCACTCTGCCGCTCCACCGTCACTTGTGGCCTGGAAGGCAGCAGAAGGCACTGTACAGAAAGAAGTAGGGTATGCATGTAGAAAGTCTTTGCAAAAAATCCACAGCTCTGGGTGCAGGAGACCTCTTGGCCAGTTTTATCACCTATTGAGGAACGCTGACAGTGGGCATGAGAAATGGATGTATTTCATTGGATCAGTAAATCAGTCCACAGTAGAGAGCTGCAGGTTCTGAGGAAGCTGCCATGGTTTGGAGGCGAGCAGGAAGGGCTGTGCAAGTGTTTCCTGAGATTCGAAGAATGGAATCGATTCCTAATTCAGAGCCTGGTTTCTTGGACTTTCTTTATTTTGTAGGTCTTTTGCTGATGTAAATCTACAGGGCTTGATTCTCCAGCCCAAGAAAATGGATCCTATCTACACCAGCTGAAGACTTATCCTTAAATTATACAGACGAAAAAAACAAAGGCTGAAAACTTCAGAAGCCTGATAATTGTAATTTGATAGGTGTTTCACTTGCTCCCTACCTTGCACATGACTTCTATGGGATTTCGGGTTGTTTGGAACCTTCATGAGTTGTCTTTATATGGCTGTATATCTGGGCTTAGGGCATGCGAGCATGGGACATTTGCTCTGTCCTGCAGGAATAACATGTTGCTTCTGATCCTTACCAGGGGCTGAGGAGGACACAGTGCCACCTGTGTGTTCCCCTGTTTGTGGGCTGGAACCAGATCAGTCACTCTCTAATCTAAAACATCCTGAAGGTCTGTGTGAGCATAGCTGCTGCTGCTCATGGTCTCTGTTAGCAAGTACGACACACGACACGCTCTTGATTGTTGAAAGGGGCCAGAAGGGTAATGAAGCCTTTCACCCAATATTGTAAGGGTGTGGGAATGCCTGAGGGGCGTGATCCACTTGGGGAACCTCTGATACTGAGGGTACGCTGGCAGTATTTACTGTGCAGTAAATATTTTTCTCCTCTCTTCTAGTTCACACGCATTTTCAGATCAAGATCTTCCTCAAAGAAATGGTAAGACTTTCAGTGGGCTGAATGCCTGGACTATTAGTGCAGCTGTAAGATCTTCATGCCCAGATGAGCTTTGTTTGTCATTAGTGTTGCTTCTGTCAAGCTTTTTATTAAAGTTTCTCTCTCTTTAACAAGTACTTTTTAAAAGGTTTTCCTGGTTAAAATAGTCATTTATTGACTCTGAGTTATGGGTGAAATAAAGCAGTATTCACTCATTGTTTTTTAAACCACAAGAAAACGGAGTCTAATGTCTGAAAGGTGGAGCTGGGAGAGTGTTTGTGAAGTAGTCTGTCACCTGTGAAACTTTGTGCTCCTGGCAACCAGTCAGACCTTTTTAGCTTATTTGTCACAGGTTCACATCTTTGTCCAGTGCAGGCAAAGAAATTCCTATTCACAGATACAGGCTTTTGCCATGTGATTCCGTACAACTCCCTTCTGAAGAGTGCTATATGAGAAAGAAGCGGCCTCTTAAATGTGCGCTTTAAATGAATAAATAAATGTATAGGCTGAAACCTGTAATTTTTGGCCACTGGAGTTCTCTCAAGTAAAGGTGGCAAGATATTTAATGAAAAGAACCTTGTACAAGTAAGGCAAATCGGGAAATCAGAAAACGGATGTCTTGAAGGCAATATTCACACTAAAGTAAATATTTTGCAAAACAATCAGGTGGTCTGAAATAAACATTGTGTACGGAGATACTTATTGTTTTCATCAGAACGTGCAGGACTATGCTTTTATAAATGATGAATTGTTTTGTGTGTGTGCTCATAACACACTTTCTTCTGCAGGTCGACATTTTGACAGTGGTATGAAGCCAAAATTTAACGTAAATCAAGTGGCAATTACACAGGTAACATATGAAAGAACTGAATCTATAATTACTTTTCACAGTGTTTTGAGATCTTGTGATTAATACATTATTTAATACAACAATACAAATTAAAAGAAATAGCCAACAAAGTTGTCCAAATGATAGTGGTATGATCCAGATTTACAGCCTGTAGTACAATACATCTATTTTTCTGAGCAGTGAGGTAAGACTTCAGTTGGCGTAGCTGGCACTGACTGGCAATGGGTTTGGGCATAGGGTCATCCTGAAAGAATCAAATCCTGTTTTCCATATTCAGTACAATTCCATCTGACTGCAGTGGCCAGTATTTTGTTTATATCTTTTATATGGTTGGTACTAAAAGAACAGCTGAAGCAAAACTGCTGGTTGGTTAAATTCAGTGGGAGATTTTCCCCTGTCCAGCCTGTAGGTTTTGTGAAAAACTAATGGCAAAAGGCTTTCCTAATAAGAACCATGCAAAAGATGCAATCTAATGTAAATAATTTAATGATTAAATCACTCTCTCCTACACTTCTAAAGAAGACAGCCTTATCTTTTCTGCCAAAGACAATCGTAATGCTGTTGCTTGCTGGCTATTGCATTAGGTTCTCTGACTACTGTCTTACCTTGCTTTCTGCTTGTTGCTGCAAGTATGTAATAATTTTAATTCCTAAAGCAGTCTTGTGCCATCTGTAAGGTCAAGTATCAAAGGGGTCTTTCAGGGTCTGAGCTGGGAGACTTGATTTGCTAATCTTAACAGCAAAAAAAGTCTTTAAGCCAAGACAAAGCTTTGAGGCTTAACAACATCCCTTCTGGAGCCTGGTAAGATGCTGTTGATGACTGAAACTCAGAATACCTCGGTTGTTTGTACATGATTTGAACTTACTCTCTCATACTACATGCAAGGCAGCTATGCAGACATTACATGCATTATCATACTCAGATTTGACGTATCTGCAGATGAAAAACAGTCTGTGGTGTATGGAAATCTTAGCTTGGAATATGAAAACAAGGGTTGAATTTTGAAGTCCTTCCTGAGCTTTAACTCACTGTCTCAAGTTACATCGCTTCACAGGCAAATCAGCATCGTTTAGCTGTGAAATTTGACTTGGATAGATTAAGCTTTTTCTGATATCTAGAGAGGACATGGAACCGTCAGTACCCAGATTTTAAATTTATAAATTTATGATTTTATGAAGGCAGGGATCCATACTGAAGCCATCCTGCTTTGCAGCAGGCATTTCTCTTATTTTAAAGCCATCTGTGGCCAAACTGCCTGCAGGTAGATGCAGACTTGGACCGTTTCTTTCACCTGGGCAGCTGTATAACGTGCTTTCCGCACGGTAGGCTGTATCTTTGGCTCAAGCCTAATCCTTTTTAATGTACTACTGTCATGCTTAGAACTGCCCTAGTGAGTCTCCTGCTGGGGTGAGCAGCTTGTTATTCTAGCTTTGCTTCAATTTTTTATAATGGGCTGCTCCACAGTGTGCAGGGATGCAATGAGGGCATGTTAAGAACGTGATTTACCCCAGTGATACTACACCATTAGTACAATTAAAGCTTATTTTGGCTCTCTGCCAAGTTGTGCTGGAGTTAGAAGCCTGCATGGTTCCCTGCCATTCCTGGGGTAGGAAGGATTGTTGAGAGACTTCTCTGTTTCCTCACTTCACTACCACTGCAGCTGAGAACTAGCTTCACAGGTGCTCTTAAGTGCTAGCCTCATTTATTCTGGTAGGATAGAGAGTAATTCCTGAAATGTCTGTCTTCTGATACTGATCTTTTATGTGGTCAATCAGGTTGTCAGCTACAACTTGAGCAGGAAAGAACAGTTGGAAAGAGAATCCTGGAGGCTGTTCACCCACAGCCACTACAGCCCTCTCAACGTCACGGTTAACGGCATCCCCTGCATTCTCTTCTGGGCCAAGAGGATCATGATTAAGTTTAAGAACTATACGCAGTTGGATTTGACGGAGAAGACGTTTGGTGTGCATGCAACTGTGGATGTCGGAGATTCTAACTGCAGTCAAGACAGCGCAGTGTAAGGTGGCATCCTACTCTGGTAGTACCTGATAACAAGGCCAGTAAATAACTACTAGAGGAACAAACCTTGTAATATGTGGTTTGGAGACCCAGTATTCCTATAATGGCCTGATGCTGCAAGCAGCAAGGCAGTATGGCTTATATGCTTTCCAGTCAGTGTTTCATAGGGCACACAGAGGTACCTAGCTGTCTTTATCTCTTTCAGTGGTGTAGCCAGCCTCGGTGGCCAACCAGTTTTGTGACTGGTGTGTGTGAGGCTGGAGCTATTGATCCCCTTAGTCTCTGCTCCTTGGACAGCTTTGGTCTCTGGCTCTTTTGGATGGGTGCTTGGGATAGTGAATAGCATATCCTGTGCTGAATGTGGGGGCTTAGAGGCTGGCTGTGCATGACTATGGGTGGTGGGCTACATTTTCATAGTATTTGTGCTAATGGTTACCAGAAGCAATGTAACCCGTTGGTTCAAGACAGACATCTAGAAACAGTACCTAGAAACAGAATTAGGTGGTCCAAAGTCCCAGCATGTGATTTGCCAAAGCCCAAGGGCGAACTCACTGCAGGTTTCCATGTGACCTGAAGCTTCTCCAGGAACCTGAAATTCTGCATGCCGGTCTGTCACGAATTACTTCGGCACAAACAGCTCACTGTCTTGCTCCTACCAAACCAGAAAAGAGCCATATTTTAAACTGATTGTACCCCAAACCTCCAGTGTAGTGGCCATACTGGAAAAGCATGTGAGTTTTTAATTTTCCTTGTAATGCAGCCAACCACTTCTCTCCTTCCACGTACTATACTGGGTAGCTCATTGTCTACTACCAGGCTGTTGATTCTACTCTGATAGCCAAGTGTCTAAAAATTAGGAGATGGGTACCTACTGTGCAGATGTCGAACATGATCATTGGATCTACTCCACAAATGGTATTTAAATCTATAATGACACACAGAGATTAAAAAAAGAACATGACCAAACCTAGTATTTTTGTTTAGCTTTTGTACAGTATGGTTCATCTGTAGGTCTAAGCAGTATTATGTCTTCCTGATTATACCTGTAGAAAGCATAGTGAAGCTGAGGTACAGTGAAATTTTAGTGAGGTTGCAAGAAAAGCAAAAGTATGTTTGAAAAAGGAGCCAAGCTTTTTCTTTGTGGTATCATAGTATTTAGCAAGTGCTGAATACTTCACATGGCAAAACTCACCTTTGCAGTCAAATAATAAATGATTTTCAGCATCAGAGGTAGTTTCAATTTTACATTATCAGCAAGTGAATAAATGCAGCGCTGTGTTTTGGAAGGCGAGGTAGAAAATGGTAAGTGGAAAAAGAATAACGTTAGTTTTTTTAAAAAAAAAAAGTAATAAATTAACAAACAGTCCCTTTTCTGTTCTTCAATTCAGAGCTAATAAGCTTATTAGTAATGAACATAACCTAGTAGAAAATGTACTCCTGTGAAAGTAAGGGTTTCAAAACACAAAATATAGTTTTTACAGTTGTCTCTAAGGCTTCAAAAATCAAAGACATTTGCAGTGACAGACTGCAAACTCTCTCCTGTTAGTGTGAGTAGACTGTTAAATTTCAGCTTGTTGCTCTGTCTGCCTGTCTGTCACAGGTACAGTGACTACAGTGCTTATAGTAGTGTCAGTAATATCTGATTTAGTAGTATCGGTGTGCTTCGCTCTGTAGATACAGAGTATTGCTCTAAGAAGTTAGGCCTATACGTTCTGTTCTATGTCTTATGTTGAAATTTGGGAGATTATAGAACATGCTATGCATAGAAAAAGCTGCAGGAGAGAGCCAGGAAGCAGAAAAGCTATGAGACACCCTTGACATGCCTTTTATCAATGTTTCACCAGATCTCAAGTTTGATCTCATAATCTGTGAGTCCAGAGCCACCTTATCTGCCATGTCTTCTGTCCCTTCTCTCTGTTTCACCCATAGGGTTTTCTGAGCAGCCTCAAACTAGGGACATAGATGCTAAATGCAGGCAGGACTTCTGTGCTTTGAAGCTGAGGTTAGTGGGTTTTTTGCAGGGGTCAAGACACACTATGCCTACTGAGTTTTTTTTTTTTTCCCCCTCTGTTCTATGGACAGAGAGAGGAAAATGCTACTGCTTCCCAGTGGTTGTGTGATTTTAATGTTCTGTGCTTTGCTGATTCAGGATACCTCGAGAAAATACTAGTCTCACTGACTTCCGCGTGAACCCTTTGAACGTACTCTAGACTGCTGATCAAGGAAGACCTGTCTTATTCTGAGCCCTCCCTAGGAGGAATTTGTTGGGACGTTTGGCAGATTCTCTGAACGAATCTGTGGCATCTGTGCTAGAACCCGAGTATCACTTCACTAGAAACTTGTGTCCATGTGCCCCTGTCAGCGCTCAAGTATTACTCCAGGTCCTTGTGTATAAAACCCATGCTCTGCGGGTAGCAGGATGGATGGTCTGAACTCCTTAGACCCAGCGTAATTGCTGAATAGAAGTTGTGGGTTAAGATGCTGAGTCAATTTACATTTGGCTGTAGCTAAGGCAGAAAAGAGAGAAGCTGGGTTTAATTTCCATTTAGCAATCCTTAAACCTGAGATTAGGAAGCAATAAATTGTGCCAGCTGATTATCTGGCTGAGTGCTAACATGATACATTGCCCTGTTCTTCTCACCCCAGGAGAGTCCCTTAAAGTTCTCCCTTCTCCAACATTTTTTAAGACTGCCTTCTGATTTGGCTTTAGATTAGCTTTCGAGTTGCTTTATACTGCCTGATCAATGCAAAGCAGCTAGAGCCAGGAAAAAATACTTGGTCCCTTATGCATGTATACTTGTTGTATACATATTTATATATATGTATGTATATATATGTACATAAAATATAATAATCCAGCCTGTTTATTTTTAAATGCACCAAGTCATGGATCAGGCAACTGAATTTAATGCCATGCTTGCATGTGTCTAATCCTTAGCTGTCTATATTTTTCCTTTGTAATAAAACAAGAGAGTGTCTAGAGATTCAGTGTTCCGGCTTATTTGACCCAGTGTTAGTCAAGGTATTAGAAATCAAGATCCCTTATTAAATCATCTGTTTAGCTGTGCTTTTTATTTTTTTCAGCTTTAAGTTCTGAAGTCGTGTA